AACAAAAATCACAGATAGTCTGCTGAATTAAGAGGGAAGACAATATACAGTTCGACTGCTTCTATCTTCTGCTCTTGTTCCTGCTCTTGCCGCCCTACCCAGTTCGATCTCCACCAGTGGGAGTGATCAAGAATAGTTCTTGATATTGCCCTTTGTTAGAAAAGGCAATCTGAAGTCGTGCTCACCAGTCCTCCATCATATTCTTGCTGAAGAATTTGGTTCTTGCTGAAGAACCGTCCTGCTGATTCTACTTCACCTCGCACCATGTCATCTTCGGTGGAAAGTCTTTCGTCTTCTCCTTGGGCGTGAACACCTTCATTGGGGGTTTACTATTACTCCATAGCAGGTATATCCCTCTACTCCCTTTTGGTTTTAGATCTGGTCCAGTTTTGTTTCAGATGTGGGAATCGCATTCCCACATGGGAGAGAGAGAAATTTTTGAGATTTCACCCAACCTTCCTGTAGGGTTCGGTCATACATATGATGGATCTCTCATCCCTCCAGTGATATCAGAACCAGATTCAAATATTGAACCAAATTAAATCAGATCTTGATCTAYGCAAATGGGCAGAAGGCGTTCTACCCGATTTGCGCAGTTAGCGTTTTCTGGGAAATTGGTTCCCAGTTTTTGGGTGATTGATCTGAAATTAAATCTTTTTAAATCATATTTATATTTAGAATTGTTCTATATATTTTTCTTGATTTTTGGGCTGTTCGTACGAGGGAGATCGAATTCTTTAATGGCGCAAGAAATCTCCGCACCTGTTGTTCTTTTCATTCTTGGTCCGTAATTAATTATTTTTAATTTTTAGACGGAATGTATAGGAATTTAATTCTGATGTAATGTTAATAGAAAATAGGTTTTCTATTTTATTTCATTCGAAGATGAAGCAGATTGTGCAGAGGATAAATTTTGGCAGATTTGGGTTCAGCCATCTGCGATTTGCAGTTTTGGAAATTGCATGTTGCGATATAATTTTTGTTTTGCAGGGTAGYAGTCCTACAAACAGCCCTCCTATTGATTCTTGATTGTCTTGTATCAGTTATTTAATTTTATATCATCATTCTTGAATTAAATCTCAAATTAAAAATCAAACCCTAGACCCATTCGAACCAGATTGGACCAAACTGGTTGGACCGAATCTGTGGTTCGATGGGGGCTGTTCTCAGCCCTAATTTTTTACATATGGGTCCAAGAGTTGATGGTTAATTGCAAGATGCAATTCAGCGTTAAAACTGCTTTAGCCCATTTCAGCATAAAAGCTATATGGGCCGAACTGCTCTTTGCAATTCAGCCCATATACCTAGATAATATTAATCAGTAATATTTTAAAAACTTATGGGCATTACAGTTATTTAATTGATTGGATCAATTATGTTGTTCATGCATGTGATGTATGGATGTGTGGTGTGCAACGTTCATGGGCCATAAGTACTTGGCCTATGCTGATTCGATAGTGGCTCTTACGCACACCATGGCTGAATGCACATCATTGCCATGGTGTCCTTAAGATCATTGGATGGTCTCCCTTCATGGTGGGCCCCACACCAGCTTCCTCCCCAAGAGGAACCGTGCGGAACCCAAGCCGTTTAGAGCCCATCTAAATCTAGCTTTATAAAAGCCAGTGGAGCCACTTTGGTTTAACCTAAATAAAATTAGGGCGTAATATTTCGTTCCCTCCACTGAAATATGAGTGCATGTGATAGGGAGATTCATATAATGAACTCTCTAAAGGCTTTCAATCATTAACATGGAAGACTCTCTCACGGTACCTTGGCGTTCATGAATGATGATATAAAATGGAAGACTCTCTCATGGTACCTTGGCATTCAGTAATGAGGAAATGCACCATAAAATTGGGTTATCCATTTGTTGTTGGATCTGTTGGATTGTTTCATAAGATGAAAGGGGCATCATAGACCGATGTGGGAGAGGCCTATAATAAAATGGAAGACTCTCTCACGGTACCTTGGCGTTCACAAATATGATGGGTGAGCACTTGATGTGTGCGCATGCTACACATTATTTTTATTGCTTTATACATGGTTTTGATGATGATTCTTAATGATTTTTACCCTAATTGAGCTGAATTTCAGAAAATTGGGAATTTGGGACAATTTAGGATTAAGAGAACATAATACATGGTGATATGGCACCAAGGGGAGGACTTCGACCCACCAAGAGGAGGACTTCGGCCACCAAGGAGAAAGGCCCAACCGCAGCCCTATGGGAGGCTTCAAAAGGCGGCTGACTTTAGCAGAATTAGAAAGGAGGAGGACTCTAATCCAAAGGCTGCAAAGAAAAGTATAAAAGAAAAAGAAAGAGAGGAAGTTAGGGTTTGACCCCTTGACACAAGAATGAAGAGGAGAAGTGCTGGGAGAAGGATCACAAGGTTGCTGAAGGCGAATTGGAGAGGAGATTGAAGATTGATGCAGAATTCCTAAGTTGTCTTCTTCTTTGATTCTACGAATTTGGTAACCTAGATTCAATTAGGGTTTTTCTTGTTGAATATTTCTTTCTTTCTTTCTATTATGCGAACTATGATGGGTGTTAATTCAGATTTGTAATTAATATTTTAAGCTAATCCGATTTAGAGCAATTCAGTCGTGGGATTTCTTGATTAGGGTTTTCGATTATAAGAGTAGTTTTGGCTGAACTATTATTGTTTCTTGGATTATTTAAATTTCTTGAGAATGGGTTTAGGTAATAAGATCAACTGATCAAGAAAACGGATTGAATGTATCTTAGAGATAATATGCATGATTCATTTGGCATTCATTCAGCAAGAATTGATTTCCTTTGAATTATTTGTCCTTAATGCATCTATGGCGATTAAATTCTTGATAGAAATATAAGAGTTGTTGCTCATAGATAGAGTGGGCTGTGCTCGAAAGAGGCTGCTCATACAATTAGGAATTAGCCAACCCATGACTGAATTCAACTTCAGTTGGATAGCTTAATGGTGTAATTGCTGAACCGGTTCTGCTATTATTTTCATGAAGCACTTCCTCTCATCATTTAAGGCGGTTTGATCCAAGAATACTTAGGATAATTTGCTAATTAGGAGTTAAGTTTTTCTTTGTTTAACCTTTCGGATTGTCAGAGAACAAAAGGTTGATTCAGTACTAGTAATTGTTGGATTAATCCCTATGGGAACGATACTCTACTCATCAGTATATTACTTGATCGGCTTGTGCACTTGCTAGTGTAATCTAAACGCATCAAGTTTTTGGTGCCGTTGCCGCGGATTATCACAACAATATTAGGAACCATCTACTGTTGTTAATATGATTTTGTACAATATGTTCATGATATGTGTGTATTAGTATCTTTATGACTTTGACTTGTTCAGTTTATGACACGCAGAAGTGAAAAGGAGAGCATCATCTACGATTCAGAGATTGAACAAACTCTCCACCGTCGCCTTAGAGCTTCTAAGCAAGGGAAAGCTTAAAGTACAAACATGGCCGAGCAAAGGACTATGATGGACTATGCCAAACCAACCCTCACCGGGGCAGCCTCGAGCATTGTGAGACCAGCAATAGCTGCTAACAACTTTGAGATCAAACCAACAATCATTCAGATGATCCAGAACACAGTTCAGTTCTNGACTGAATTCAACTTCAGTTGGATAGCTTAATGGTGTAATTGCTGAACCGGTTCTGCTATTATTTTCATGAAGCACTTCCTCTCATCATTTAAGGCGGTTTGATCCAAGAATACTTAGGATAATTTGCTAATTAGGAGTTAAGTTTTTCTTTGTTTAACCTTTCGGATTGTCAGAGAACAAAAGGTTGATTCAGTACTAGTAATTGTTGGATTAATCCCTATGGGAACGATACTCTACTCATCAGTATATTACTTGATCGGCTTGTGCACTTGCTAGTGTAATCTAAACGCATCAAGTTTTTGGTGCCGTTGCCGCGGATTATCACAACAATATTAGGAACCATCTACTGTTGTTAATATGATTTTGTACAATATGTTCATGATATGTGTGTATTAGTATCTTTATGACTTTGACTTGTTCAGTTTATGACACGCAGAAGTGAAAAGGAGAGCATCATCTACGATTCAGAGATTGAACAAACTCTCCACCGTCGCCTTAGAGCTTCTAAGCAAGGGAAAGCTTAAAGTACAAACATGGCCGAGCAAAGGACTATGATGGACTATGCCAAACCAACCCTCACCGGGGCAGCCTCGAGCATTGTGAGACCAGCAATAGCTGCTAACAACTTTGAGATCAAACCAACAATCATTCAGATGATCCAGAACACAGTTCAGTTCTACGGCTTGGCTAATGAAGATCTGAACACTCACATCGCCACTTCTTGGAGATATGTGACACATTCAAGCACAATGGGATGATATCACCACTTTCTCTCAGCAGGATGGGGAATCATTGTATGAGTCATGGGAGCATTACAAAGAATTACAGAGGAAGGTCCCTCATCATGGACTTCTCGTATGGCTCCAAGTTCAAACGTTCTACAATGGATTGACTAAAGCAAACAAAACCATTATGGACGCTGCAGCTGGGGGATCCATTAACAACAAGACCCCTGAAGTTGCCCATGCACTTATTGAGGAAATGGCTGCAAATAATTATCAGTGGCATTCCGAGAGAGCCCAAGTTAGGAGACAACCCGGCCATCACAATGTAGACACCTATACAGCACTATCTGCACAAATCGGTGCCCTCAGCAAGAAGATCGATGAAATGTAGTTGGCAGCCATACATGTTCAGGCCGTAGCCTGTCAATGGTGTGGGGGAGGTCATATCAGCACCAAATGCCAAGTTGGAAATCAGTTCATGTAGTCCCCCAAGCAAGTAGATTTCGTAGGGAATTTGCAAAGGCAACAAGGCAATCACTATCCTCGTGCCTTTAACCCCGGATGGAGGAATCACCCCAATCTGTCTTGGTCAAATCAAAATGCGGTGAAACCCCTCCCTCAAAATTTCACTCAGCCAGAAAAGAAATCTAATCTAGAGGAGCTAATGACAAAGTTCATATCATGTGCAGAAACAAGATTTCAAAATCAAGAGGCATCGATCAAGAATTTGGAGACTCAAGTGGGGCAGTTGGCACAGATGATATCTTCTAGAGTCCAAGGTACCTTGCCCAGCAATACAGAAGCAAATCCAAGGGAACAAGTGCAAGCCATTACCTTGAGGAGTGGTAAGGAGCTGCAAGAGGTGGAGAAGAAAACAAAGGAAGAAGGTAAGACGGGTGCAACCCTAGAAACTGGAGAAAAGGAGGAAGAGCAGGCTGATTCAAGGAAAGAGACAAGCCAAAAGCCACAACTGCCATTTCCTAATAGGCTTAAGCAACACAAAATGGAAAAGGAATTCGATGAGTTTCTTGAAATTTTCAAGAGTTTGCATATTAACATTCCTTTTGCAGATGCCTTAGCCCAGATGCCGCATTATGCAAAGTTCCTTAAGGAAATCTTGGCGAACAAAAGGAAATTGGGAGACGTGGCTATAGTTGCACTGAATGAAGAATGCTTAGCAATCCTCCTCAACAAGCTGCCTCAGAAACTGAAAGATTTAGGCAATTTCACTATTCCTTGCACTATAGGTAGTTTAAGGATTAATAAGGCATTGTGTGATTTAGGAGCTAGTATAAATCTGATGCCCTATTCTATTTTTAAGAAATTAGGGTTGGGTGAACCCTAACCCACTAGAATTGCATTGCAATTAGTTGATAGGTCCATCAAGCATCCTAGGGGAATCATAGAAGAAGATGCACTTGTTAAGGTTGACAAATTTATTTTTCCCGTTAACTTCATAGTGTTAGACATGGAAGAGGACGTTGACGTCCCACTTATCCTAGGGCGACCCTTCCCAGCTACAGGAAAGGCAATGATTGATGCCCAACAAGGGCAACTCAGCCTTAGGATTCAAGATGAGGAAGTAATTTTTAAAATGTCTGATGCTATGAAACATGCACCTTCTAGTGATGATTCATGTTATATGATAGATGTCATTGATTATGTGGTTGGTGGGTGTTTTCAGGTTAACAGGTTGGCCGATCTCCTTGAGCTATGCATACAAGAAGGAGAAGCCTTAATGGGAGAAAAGGAAGAAATTCAAAGCATGTTGGCATACCTGAATGCCAATCCTCAGTTTCAAGGAAAGGGGTTCATCAAGTTGGAGAGCTTGGACAGACCCTCGATGCCAGAAAGCAAGTCTTCAATCGAAGAGCCGCCCACCCTTGAGCTGAAGCAACTCTCACCACTTCTAGAGTATGCCTTCTTAGAAGCACCATCAGCCCTACCAGTGATCATATCAGCAGCCTTGACCCCTTTGCAGAAGGAAAAACTGTTACGGGTGCTACGGGAACACAAGACAGCTCTAGCTTGGAAGGTAGTAGATATCAAGGGTATCAACCCGCCCATATGCACTCACAAAATTCTGATGGAGGATGGAAGCAAGCCCATGGTTCATCCCCAAAGACGCCTGAACCTGAACATGAAGGATGTGGTGAAGGCAGAAGTCATCAAGCTGTTAGACGCAGGCATTATCTATCCGATCTCTGACAGTTCATGGGTGAGCCCCGTCCAAGTAGTGCTGAAGAAAGGAGGCATGACTGTGGTACCGAATGCGAAGAATAAACTCATACCGACTAGGATGGTTACCGGGTGGTGTGTGTGCATTGATTACAAAAGACTAAACGAAGCCACACACAAGGATCATTTCCCTCTACCCTTCATCGATCAAATGCTAGAGAGGCTAGCTGGTCATGAGTTCTATTGTTTCCTAGATGAGTACTCGGGGTACAATCAGATACCAATTTCACCCGAAGATCAGGAGAAGACCACCTTCACATGTCCTTACGACACCTTTGCTTACAGGAGGATGCCATTCAGTTTATGCAATTCTCCAACAACATTTCAGAGGTGCATGATGGCTATATTTTTTGATATGGTGGAGAACTTCATGGAGATTTTCATGGATGACTTTTCGGTCTTTGGCTCTTCCTTCGATGCATATCTACATAACTTGGAAAAGGTACTCAAGTGTTGCAAGGACCCATTTAATGCTGAACTGGGAAAAATGCCACTTCATGGTGCAAGAAGGTATTGTGCTTGGACACAAGGTTTCACAGAGAGGGATAGAGGTTGATAGAGCCAAGGTGGAGACAATTGAGAAGTTGCCACCACCAACATCCGTCTGGTCTGTGAGAATCTTCTTGGGACACGCAGGATTCTATAGAAGGTTCATCAAGGATTTGTACAAGATAGCTAAGCCATTGTCCAATTTGCTGCAGAAAGATGTGCCCTTTGATTTTTTCACAAAGGAATGCCTGGAAGCGTACAACATCTTGAAGGACAAACTGATTAATGCCCCAATCATAATAGCATCGGATTGGACACTCCATTTTGAGTTGATGTGCGATGCGAGTGATTCAGTAGTTGGATCCGTTCTAGAACAAAGAGTGAACAAACATTTCCAACCAATTTACTATGCTAGCAGGACCTTGAATGGAGCTCAACAGAATTACACCACGACGGAAAAGGAACTACTAGCGGTAATTTTTGCTTTTGATAAATTTCATTCATATCTAATCTTGTCCAAGGTTATTGTGTATACAGATCACTCGGCACTCAGACATCTACTTGCAAAGAAGGATGCAAAGCCAAGGCTGATCAGGTGAACTCTGTTGTTGCAAGAATTTGATGTCAAAATCCGTGATAAGAAAAGCACCGAGAACCTGGCCGCGGACCATCTCTCCTGGTTAGAGGATTCAGATTTGGGAGGGAAGATGACCAGCACCCTCCGAGATGAGTTTCCGGACGAACAACTCTATTCAGTTCAGGTAGATACATCCCCTTGGTATGCTGATTTTGCAAACTATCTCATAGGAAACGTCCTCCTTCCTAATTTTTCATATCAGCAGAGGAAGAAATTCTTCTCTGATGTGAAATAGTATTTGTGGGAGGACCCCTTTTTGTATAAGCTTTGTGCAGATCAGATCATTCGGAGGTGTGTCCCCGACGAGGAGATGGAGTCGGTACTCCAATACTGCCATGACTGAGAAGCAGGAGGCCATTTTGGAGCCAACCATGGAATAGCCAAGGTGTTACAATCAGGTTTCTATTGGCCTACCTTGTTCAAGGATACTCACAGGTATGTGTCCACATGTGACCAATGCCAAAGGACATGTAACATCTCTCAACAAAATGAAATGCCTCTCACTAACATATGAATATGTGAAATCTTTGACGTATGGGGTATTGACTTTATGGGACCTTTCCCAAATTCTTTTGGAAATAAATACATCCTAGTTGTTGTTGACTATGTGTCCAAATGGGTGGAAGCCATGGCTTTACCCACAAATGACTCTAGGAGAGTAGCCCAATTCCTTAAGAAACTATTCACCCGATTCGGCACACCCCGCGCCATAATTAGTGATAGGGGAACTCATTTCTGCAACACCCAATTTGAGCGGCTAATGCAAAAATATGGTGTTACACATAAATTAGCAACTGAAAGAATGGTAGGATCCATCTAATGGACGCCATAAAGGTTGCGGAATGGGTGGGGCGAATTTCAAAAATTTCCTACCTTCTCCCAACTGGGAATCATATTCCCTGAATTTAGAATACAATATTCAAGGATCTACTTGAACCCTAATCAAACCAG